ATCATCAGGTGATACCAACTTATGTGTTTTAATAAGTAGGTATAGGACGGGACATGTTGGTCTATCGATTTTAAAGTGCGAAATAACCGATGATTTTAAACCCGCAGCCTTTGCCACGCTGACCCATTGATTGTTTAGTTTTCGGTATTGACTTTTATATTCCTTTTCAGAGGATGGGCGATAGAGAGTAGCATCACTAAGATGTTATCTCAACATCCAGCTGGCGAGGGATAACTACGAACTCTCCCCCCTTATCACTAACAGACAATCTTATTGTTTAACGTTTTGTTTTCTGCCTTTCTATAATTTTCATGGCAGGTTACTAAGCGAAATACAACCACAACGTTGCTGAGATATTTGCAAAACTCTGGACCGCAGGTGTCTATGGTGGGGAACGAACGCGCTATTATCCTTTCCGGGGAGTAACGCGTTCACCACCACACCATGCGGGTCCTTTGTTTCGCACGTCTCTCAGCTATTTCTATCGATCTTTTTGCCACATTTTGAAATAGGGCGCCAGGTCACGCGTGATAGTGAGGCATTCGTCCTTCCGGATCATCTTTGGATTTTTGAAATTTATCCAAAACGCCTCAAGGGTTTCGCCTGTTGATGCTTTTGATTCCTGCGCTAGGACCCGCACATTCGTTTCAAAATCATCGCCGTTGTGCTTTTGTGCCCTATGCGTACCTAGAGGAGTGTTTAGACGGGTTTTAACTTTTCCATCTAGATGTTCTTTTATTCGGACACAAAGTAGTCTACCCGTTTCCCCAATATATTCCTCACCGCATGCGTTACATGAGATCAAGTATATTATACCTAAACTCATGCAATCTCCGTCTCTCCCGTTAGGACAGATCATACAGTTTTTGGAGCTGCACAAACGATCATAGAGACGGTTGCGAACTAATTGATGGCGTAGGGTATTGGGTGGGATGTCAATAATCGTTACATAATTTTCAAGACCACTTTTTCTTAAGCACTTTTTAATGGCGCAACTTACTTCATTTGATATGAAGGGCAACTTAAAAGGAATCTTACTTAGGTTCGAAACATTATTTTGGGAAACTACCCAACGTTTTCCTCTAACCCGAGTGGCTTCTACTTTGTAGCCATTGGAAATGGTAATTTTTCGTGCGAGGTTTCGCGATTCCTTCCTTTCCTCTTCTCCTGTACACACACATTTTTAGCCGTACGGTACATGTTCTTGACAAGTGCTTTTTTCATGTGTGAAGGGTGAGAGGAGAGGCAGTGAACTAGAATGTTTTTACTACTTGGCTTGCGATGCCATTTTGTTACACAGCCACTTACTGAGAGCTTTATTTGGATGTTTAAGAATGAAAGCCAGTTCTCGGTAGGTTTTCTCGTGTAAATTTTATATACTCTGACTGTCGGTTTAATAATTCAAAGCACTCATCCATCTGTTCTTGTGTGGAACAGACGATGAAGCAGTCGTCTATGTATCGACAGTGGAGTAAGGGTCAGTGGTCGAGAACTGGAGTTCCACCTTAGACATGAAAGCGATGGCAAAGCTTGGTGGTAAACGCTGCCCCACGGCCAACCCTCTAATTTGTGCAAAATATTTTTCAGACCGCCTAAAAAATGAACAACTAAGACACTGTTTTAATAGAGTCATTAGTTGCTTAATCGTCAAGCCGTGCCTTTTTATTTTCTTTTCATGCTCTACGAGCAACTCGAGAATGGCTTGCATTGCGGAGTGATTGGACACGTTGGTATAAAGTGACGTAACGTAACTTGTCAATACTGTTAATACTTTAACCTTCTTTTCCACCGAGTAATAAAAATATTCTAATATAAAGTACGTCCAGGCTCTGAGGAAGGCGAAGTCGCCGAAACGTCAGCCATCGATCAATAACATCAAAAACAACGACAACGACAACGAAGATCTGTACCAGCCTCGCGTCAGCTTAAGAAGATCAGTTTATAAGATCACATAAATAAATATATCAACTATCTATGCCGAGGTTCATAGAAAGTCGGTCTTTCGAGTCTAGGCTATATATATATTTTTTTGAATGCTTGAAGAATTCTCTAGGGTGCCTGAGATAAAACTGGCGTAGAAATATGAATAGTCTTCGTCACAAAAAGTCATCGTGCTATGACAACGTTTGCTCGCTCTCTATTTTTCGTACGGTAGATGATAAAAGGCGTCTGTGGTGCAAGTGGTCGGAGGCGCCCTGCAACACGTGGAATCGATCCTTGCGCCTATGGCCCACCAAGTCTTCCATCCCTCCAGGGTCTGCAAATTGGTACCAGACTTGTCTGGGAGGATAGCAGCACTGGCGCGATACATCGGTAGGCCACCGTGAGTCATTGTAAAGGCCAGATATGCATTCAGTCACCTCCAAACGATGTTTAATGAAGTCGAATGCAAGGCGCATCCCTCAGGGATTGAGCAACTCCGAGAGCTTTGTCTTTCTAAATGACAAAAAATCCTGACAGTTGTGGCTACTGGTGCTTGAGTTTTCCATTTCCCGATGGGTTTGGTTCCCAGCATAGCCGATAATGGCCTGAGATTTATCTAAACCCTTTGCAATGATATATAACTGCGTCGTTTTCTTGTTCGATCCTGGGAACCATGTGTAACTTTATATTTACTGCCTACTACTTTTTCGCGGAAAGGTATCATGTGAAATACAACCACAATGATGCTGAGACAGCAGCTGAGAGACAGGCGAAACGAAGGACTTGCATGATGTGGTGGTGAACGCGTTACCCCCCGAAAAGGGTAATAGCGCGTTCGTTCCCCACCGGTACGGAATTCTGCAAATATCTCAGCATCATTGTGGTTGTATTTCACTACTTCTGCCGTAAAAAATTGTAACAGGCAGCAAATAAAAAAATGTTGAGATATTTGCAAACCTCAGACCCCATGCCAGATTCGAACCCGAGATTACCGTTTCCGGGGGGTTTGCGTGTAACAATATTTCAAAAACCGGTTTTCTTTCAACCCATAACTAATCATATGTCCTCATTGATAGGATAACAAGAGATTGATGAAAAAAAAACCTTTATTCGACTAGAAGCTTTTCTAGAAATCGAATAAAGTCCTTTTTTCGACTAGCAATAGAACATCCAAAAACAGCAGATAATAGCAAATTATGTGAGAGGTTTCCTTACCCAGATATACATTCATGTCAAACACAGTAACTGAAATATAGGCGTAGATGAGCTGAGAGAGTTGGAAGTAGGGAAGGACCACATAGATCGATAGCAAATGAGGCAGTACAGTAACCGTAGATATGACTAAGCTCGGATGACATGTACATCGGATAGCCAGCGCTTCTCTTGTGAGTTATGTAGAAACAGAATGTGAAACACACTTAAAGAACATTTCAATAACAGCTGAAAAGAAATTAAGACTTCAGGCAGATCTAGAAGTTACCGTCTAATTTAAGCAGCAACCTCAATCGGTCCTGTTCCATTTAAAACCATTGACATATTAACCCAATAAGGTCTTACTATGGTGATCAAATGATGAATGCTACACCTGTTTTTTTCGCAGCCGCTGAAGTCGTTAAATATTGTATTCTGGTGAAACTGCACAACAAACACCTAAGCCTACGGCGACTTTTGCACAATATAGTCTTTGAATAAGAAATTTGTGCCACGTTTTTCTGCCTGGATGTCTTCGTATGTAAATATCCATAGTTTTTTATTTCGACAAGTAGTTCGTTACTTATTGGATTTCAGTTTTTCAGTTACCGTAATCCATGGTTTTTTTCGTTTTCTATGTGAAATAGACTTTGTATTCGTCTAGTCCACACTCTCCAAAACTTAAGCGTTGTCTTATTCTTTCGTCTTCGTGTGAATGTTTCTTTAGACAGTTTACTCTTCATATTATAATTTAGGTATATTGGATGCTTGCTTCAAAAACCCTTGTGAAAACCGAGGTACGTCCGGAGTCTTGTTTGTTTGTTGGCTTATCGTTTCCATTAACAACTACTTGTATGCGTTACAAAAGTAGATATGGAAAGTATAGGTCTTTAAATTGGCACTGACTTTTGTTTAATACATTTTTTATTACTTTCATGCGGTGTGAAGTGATATGAATTCTTTCAATATGAATCCCATCCTTGTAGTAGGTTCCATGATCATTATAGCACACCTTTCATCTAGATTTCAGGTTGGAAATGTCGTGAACGAAGCTGTTGAGGACCAAATTTATGGTATTGTGCAGTCGGCCGCTGATGGTGTCGACACGGATGCCATCAGTACCCTTACCCCATCCGTATCAACGTTAGATCGACAAGTATGCAAGCTTTGTTCTTTGTTTTTTCAATAATAAAGAAAGCATAAAGCTCGCGGCGTTGATACATCCCTGAGGAATGTGCCATGCGTTTGACTTCACTAGACATCGTTGGAGGTGATTGAATGCATATCTGGCCTTTACAATGACTCGCGGTGGCCTTCTGATGTATCGAGCCAGTGCTGCTATCATCCCAGACAAGTACCAATTTGCCGACCTCGAAGAGAAGGTTGGCTTGACGAGCCTGGGGCGTGGTGATCGATCCCATGTGTATTGCGGGACACCTCCGACCATTGCCCTACATGCGTTTTTTCAATAGCATGCTTAGAATTCACCATGGTTTGATGTGCACGATTTTTTTGTAGAATGCCATAAACAATCTATTGATCTCGAAGAAGCTTATAATTGCGAAAACGTCAGGCGGTACGTTGAGGTTGAAAGTCAATGTGAATACGCAGTTGACTGGTGCTACAGAAGAGGAACAAGCTGTAGGTCTTCTTTGAAATTTTCATTCTTTTTTTTCAATTTTTTTGCATAAGTCATTTAGAGGTTTAGATTTTCACGCTGATAGAGGATTCTAAACGGAAAGGCATTTGGATAAGAGAACTGCGGGAAGGATCGGGGTTGTCACAAATTCAACTTCGAAAAGTTCTCAAATCCCTTGAGCAGAAAAGGCTAATTAAGAACGTTAAGGTGAGTAAGAGTTTTTGTCAAATTGTACATCCTATGTTTGAGTTATCTTAGCTCACATATGTTTTAGGCCGTTGGTACTACAAAAAAGTGCTACATGTTATATGACTTGGAACCAGACACCTCACTTACAGGGGGTTGGAAACAATGCTTTCTTTGATGCTTTTAATTCCTTGTTTCTTATACCTGTCATATTTCAAGGAACCTTTTATTCTGACCAGCAACTAGATTCTGAACTCATCTACACTTTGGTCAATATATGCACCGGCTACGTCAATGTATTTCTCAAATTGTTTTTTTATACTCTGATTTGAAGAAATCTAATAGTTTGTACTTAGGGCAAACGTAAGCTTGCCGTTGATACTCACCCTGACGATCTTCAGATGCAGAAAGAACTAAGTGCTGTTCGCCCACAGGAGGTGATGTCTACATTAATTCAACTTCTCTAAACTGTATCTAATAGTACAGACACCTCAGTTTCCTCACAACCACCAGCTTGGAGTAAGTGAAAAACTCGTGATTATTTTAGGTAGCAGATTTCATTTCGGAAAAGCGTGTTCTAAATGTCGCCATAACTTTGGAAGATGTCGAAAGAGTCTTAGATGTGGCAGTACTGGATGGTGCTCTTGAGCGACGGCCTGATGGAAGAGTCCGTGTTTCCTATTTGTGTATTATTTTCGTTACTAACATCGGTGTTGTTTAATACCAGTTTTTACTTACTTCACTTGCCTGTCCCATGCAGCATTTTCGAGCGAAAAGGAGTTTCTACATATGCTTCTCTCATTGGGGGGGGGGGGGGGGGGGGGGGGGGGGGGACGAGGAGAGGGTAGTGCAGTGGTTGATGATGGAGTCTATTAGGAAGAAGCAAGATGCTGGTCCCCTCCCCCAACATTCTCTTCAGTCCACGCGGGAACGCCTCATCTCGGCTATCCTCAAGCTTGCATGGGGATTCGACTCGACCACCATTCTACAACATTTGTAAGAAGGACGAAATCCTCAAGCAGCAACCGAAACAACATGTAAAAGTGTGAGGGCCTTTGTGAATGTTGGACGTGAGGAAAACGAATCGAATGGAAGAAGTGCTGGGATCCGCACAGTAGATGAGGTGACGGGTTATGTCAAATAAAAAAGTGAAGTATTGCGGTGATCATTCCTATACTGTTGTCATAACACTTATGCTGTTAATTTAAAAACCCGTTTTTTTTTGTCCATACCTCTTCGTTATTTCTAAATTTACTCGGCTTAATTTACAGGTCAGAGCAACGTGGTCTACAATCCGTTCCTCCCCTCTAGTTACGGTACCGTGCTCAACATGTCCAGTTGTGGACGATTGTGGTTCAGGGCGTGTAATAAGCCCTCAGACGTGTCGATATATGGCTGATTGGCTCTTTGGGAGCTCATCTTCTACGCTTTAACTAGATTGTTGGTTCTGACATTGTTTTTGTCCGCTGTTTAACCGAGGTGATTTTTCTCGTTTTTGTTATCGATGAATTTATACAGTTAATGTGGGTGATGATTTAGCCGCCCTTGAAAAACCTATGGACGCTTCTTTGCAGATGTATAATTTCATTTAGAAATTTCTGAGATGTTCAATGTTTTTATCTATTGGTATTTTTTGTTGATCATAGTGACCACTTAAAGCCCTTGTTTCCTAACTCTAAAGGACTCCATGTGCACATTTTATACTTCTAGAGTGTTCTTACAGATTTCTTTAGCATCATGAGATTACGGGGATTGTTATGTTTGTTGAAATTTCATGTTACGAACTGAGTCGTGACAGCATTTGTCGACACTAAAGATAAAACTGAAAACTTGACTGAATGTTTGCATAGGCTTAACACAGCATCATTGATCATATCAGTTCTACTTATTTCGCTCAAAAAAAAAGACAGGGGTAACTGCTGATTTTTGAGCTGTGGGCAGCGATCTTTCCAGGAATTTACTGTCAAGTTTGCTGATATTAAGCGATCTTATGCGTACAAAACGCAGTGCCAACTAGTCTTATCTTTTGAGAAGGCTTTAATAATATATTCTGCTAGTTCTCAAGGATGGGGTATTCCTCGATGGAAAGTGTGTTACTGTTGAATTCACCGGTTCATCTTCAAAAGACGTTAAAGTGAGCTGTGTGCTGTTCGGTACTCATTTTGTCGTGTTTGAAGTGTTAACTTATGTTCCTGTATAGAATCTCGGTAGAATTGGCTTCATTGTTTAGGGAAACTACATGTTTTTTCTTTCTATGATCTGTCATCATCTCTGCCGTGAGGATCCCACCATTTCTCGAACGCGATTCGTTTTCCTGGGATTCTTCGTCCACAAAGGTCTCCGAACATTTCATGTGTTGTTTCGGTTGCCTAATGAGGATTTCGTCTTCTTTATGAACGCCATGGAACGCTAGTCGAGTCGATTCTCCTTAAAAGGAAAGGTCAAGTTGACAGCAATCTATTCGGCCAAACACTTCCATAACCAAACAGAGAAAACGCTAAACCAAGATTTCAATCACATTGAACAGAGAATAGCTTCTTTGTACACTCACCGCTTTCTAGGAGTCTTCCACTGTGTATGTCGCGAGACCAACCGCACCAAATTCACATGGAAGCGTAATGTGCCCCTGCCATCAGAATAACAGGCTTGTATAGTGCCCAATATCACGCGTGATAATGAGGCATTCTTCCCTGCGGTTCATTTTCGCATTTCTGGATTTAATCTAGAACACCTCGACAGCTTTGAGCCCTTGTGTTCTAGATCCATGTGCGAGGGCCGTGACCCATACTTCAAAGTCCTCTCCGTCATGTCTCTGGATCCTATACGGGCCTAGTGGGGTATTTGGTTGACGTTTGCCGGCTAGGTGTTCTTTTATGCGGACACAAAGGGGTCTACCCGTTTCGATAATGTATTCATCTCAGGGCAAATTATGTAATTTTGCGTTGCACATATACTAAAGAAGCTATTCTGTGTTCAATTTGATTGAAATCTTGGTTTAGGATTTTCTCTGTTTGGTTATGGAGGTGTTTGGTCGAATAGGTTGCTGTCAACTTGACCTTTAACGGAATAAAGAATAAAATAACACCTCGCCTTTGCTCAACAAGAATATAAAGGATTATTCTTTTAATTACTAGTATTTGTGTGCAGACATTGAGGTAATAAGCTCATAATTGCAATTTGTTGTTGGTCCCATCTTTACTTGTAGCTGTAGATAAAACTTACAGACAGCATGATTTTAATGGGAAATTTTTTATTTACTGCTCACTACTGTTTTTCACTGTTGTATCTGTGATACAACCACAACGATGCTAAGATATTTGCTAAAACCCCGACCGCTGGTGTTTGTGGTGGGGATCGAACGCGCTATTACCTTTACCGGGAGTTAACACGTTCACCACGTCACCAAACGGGTCCTTCGTTTCGCCTTTCTATCAGCTAGATTTCTATCCAAGGATAATTTTATTAATGGCTTCAGTTCTGGGAAGAATAGGTCTCTTTACTGTTTTGTTAGCTTCAAATACTAATCAATGTACAAAGGTGTGCCACGTTGCTTAATCCAGCCACTGATGAATCACATCACTATTCTTATCCTTCCAAACAATTCTGGTAGCAATTCAACAACGCTAGAGCGATGGAGACACGCTTTATCTGCGCTATCCAGCCATCGACTCCGCCTTTTTTCAGGCCACCTTTAACCACTGTGCTATAAACGACTCTACGAAACTTAGTTTGGAGGACATGATAATTAGGAGTGAAAATCAATGAACTTGTGTTGTGTTCATTTATTTCATAATCTGAGCAATTCTTGGGAGTCTAGCTTCCATCATTCAACATCATTCACCTGCTTCGATTGCACTCATGTAATCTCATTACAGTGGAATACGTTTCCTACTTCCATCTGTTTTATGTCAACATTAGAGACAACTAGAGATGCCTATTATTCTTTGCCAAAAAAGGAAAACGAAAACGTCACTAGAGAAACTACATGCTCGCCTGAAATCCAAAGCACATGTCTGGATAGTGTGTGCGTTAAAGCGGTGGTCAGAGAAGCCTGGAATACACATGTGGTCCCTGATGCAATCCCGCTCTCCAGGCTAATGGATCCCCAGAGAAAATTTCTAGACGGTTAGCTAACTGGTACCAGACTATCCCTGAAGAATAAAATTACTGACCATATAGATCGGTAGAACCCTGCACGTCCCTGCATAGGCCAAATACATATTCAATGACCTCTACGACGTAATGAATGGAGTCAAATGCAGGACGCATCCCTGAGTGATTGGGGAACACGGAACGCTTTATCCTTTATCCTTTATTGTTTTCTGCAATAATTGGCGAATAGGGCAGTTGTAGTGACGGCCTTCATTACCAGCACCGTGTCGAGTTCGATTCACCTCCAAGTTCAGCAACCCACTCATTCGTATATGGTCGGAAAATTGGTACCACATATGTATGGCAACAGACAACTCCTTGCAATGCAAGTGGGGACGCTGTAGCGAGGCTATCCTAAGAGTCCAGGGATATTTAACACAGGAAGAGTTTAACGACATTCATAGAGAAGACGACAATCCTCAATGGAACCCAGACGTGAACAGTTCGAAAACGTTCGTGGTTGACGGAACGAATCGAATGCAAGAAGTGCTGGGATCCTCACAGGGGAAGAGGGGTGGTATAAAGGAAATATCTGCCCAATGGTGGTGCACGCCAACTTTTCAAGACTAAGATAACTTTTTTTCTGAGTAATACCATTCTGTCGTATATTTTAGCTTTCATCCACACCTTATAGGACCCTTAATCCCAATTCCAAAGATGGTTTTTAATGAATGTGGCGTGCTATGAGAGAAGGGGCGATCGTCACCCTGGTGGTGTGGGCGGAGCTCAGTGAGCATTAAGCGCGCTTTGCATAAGTTCTGTGCCAATGTTCAACTCAAGGAGGGTAGTCACCGGTAAGTATATTACTTTAGTTTTAGTGTACTAAAACCTTTTCTAAAATGAATAGATCTTTTGTTAAACATCGATCTTTAAGTGTTTCTACCCATAACTGGTGTATTTTAAATACAATTACTGCTAGTTTAGCACCTACTATGCCCTATTGTGGTTTTCTATGGAATGCTCTAAACTTTCACTGGCTTCACATGGTCGCTAGCTATTCCACATTATTCAAAGAAAGTATAAAGCCTTGGAAGCATGTTGTTTGAGGCATCAGGAATCAATTTTCGCCGAAAGCAATCAAATTTTTAGTAGCCTGGCAGAAAAAGCTTTGTTTCAGTCCTTTTCTTTCTGCATGAATGCAAACAATATCTGTCGTAATAAAGAGATGCCAAGAAGAGGATGATAAATAGAAGAGTGAGGATGAACACGTGACAAAGATTTCACGTTTGCAGACTGCTTGCTACTAGTGTAAATAAGTCAACTGGATTATAACGCATTAAAATTTTTCATATTTATAGCTGTTAGTAAGAAATTTTATATTCAGAGGAAACTAACGTCAGTGTGAAATACCACACAGATGTCATCGGAGTCAATATGTCAAAGTAAGTATGTTCCTTATCACTAGCAAGGGTAACGTATTAACTTATCATGAGTAGATCTTGACTAACTGTAAGTCGTTATGAAGTTTTATATGGCATGATTTTTTTAAAGAGAGCTTAAAAAGCTTTTGGTCTTTATCAATCCCTGAGAGATGCGCTATGCACTAAACTTCATCAAGCCTTCCAGAGGTGACTGAACCATATCTCGCCTATAAAATGACAATGCGGTGGCCAACCGATGTATCAAGCTGCTATCCTCTTAGACAAGTCTGGTATCAATTTGCCGCCGCGGATGGACAGAAAACTTGGTGAGTCCAGGACGCGGGATCGAACCAAAGACCACGTTGCTCATTGCGGGGAACTTCTAAACACTGTGTTACACGCACCTCCTTCAACGTTGGTAGTGAGATGTTAATTAAGAGGAGAACTGACGAGGAACTCTTTAGTTAAGGGAGCATTTCTCTTATATTATCCAGGTTGCTATTAGAAACTAATGGATTTAAATGTTATTCATTCGAAATGTCATTAGAAATTCACCTCTAAAGAAATCTATTCTATTCTGCTTCTTTTTTCTTTTCAAAGAATTTACTGACGTCAAGAGCAATTTTATTATACGATGCGCCACATCTGTCTTAATCCATCATGTCAACTGGTCGTCGGCTTTAAATTCTTAGGCACTTCAGTCAACGAGGGCTTGATTCAGGTATATGCACCACTAATAATAGTAATAATAATTATAATAAAATTTGTTTCCACAAGTCTAATACAATTTACGTAAAGATTAAGCGGCCATGAAGACTGATAAAGCTGATATTTCCATTTCTTCACCACTTCAGTAATCTCTCTCACACTCGCCTATATTTTATTAACAATAAATAAACAGATGTATTCATTCATATTCC